ACACACACAAAACAGACAATCATATCAAAAAATGGGCAGAAGATATGCATTTTCTTTTAAAGATTTTATTTGTTTATTTATTTGTCAGAGAGAGAGGGAGAGCACAAGCAGGCAGAGTGACAGGCAGAGACAGAGAGAGAAGCAGGCTCCCTGCTGAGCAAGCAGCCTGATGTGGGGCTAGATCCCAGAACCCTGGGATCATAACCCAAGCCTAAGGCAGCGGCTTGACTGACTGAGCCTCCCAGGCATCCCCAGGTATAATGCATTTTAACAGATCCCCCTTGCAGCAGGATAATGGGATCCCAGCAGACTGAGTAGTTCCCCTTCACCTAGGGATACAAAATAACTCACCCACCCTGGTAGGACATCCCAAGTGCAAATTCCAGTAGATAAGTCCTTTTCCAGGTGTGTTGGAGTATGGTGTTCCCAGCAGCATAGCACATCGATCCTCAGTGAGGCAGGGCAGCTGCTGTCTCTCGTGAATTCCATACCTTCACAATATTTAAGTGCCCCAGCCTGGGTCCCTAGTCTGGTATATGGGACAAGAAGCCCTACAGGTTGGTCATTTAAATGTACTAAAGACTAGGACAGTACTTTAGTCCACCCAGCCAATGTGGTTTCACCTGTTAACAATTTGGTGCCTTAATATGCCCTTTTCCCTTGTAGCATCTCTGCTGCTTTTTGAGTTATAGGGAATACGAAACCTCCATTCAATACCTAACTGTTGAAATGTGACCCCCAATCTCTACCTCTTCCATGAGGGTACCCCCAATCTCTATCTCTTCCATGAGGGTATCCAGTTTTTCTAAGCCCCTGACGATGACATCTTGGCGTGCATGGCAGCAGGGAAAGTTCCTGTTAGAGCAGACACAGTGTCTGCACAAACCAAAGTTGTTTAGAACCCTCATTCAGTGGGAGGAGGCCAATAGAATCAATTTACAAGTCTTTCACTGGCTGGGAACTCTTCTCCTTTTGTAAAATTTTACTGGGAAAGATATTTGGTGTGATTTCAATCATCTTAAATTTACCAACACTTATTTGTGATGTGTGAACTACTCTGAAAAGTGTCGCATGTACTATTGAGAAGAATGTGTCTATGTTGCCGTTGGATGGAATGTTCTGCGTATATTTTTAGGCCCATTTTGTCTAAAGTACAGTTCAAATCCATTGTTTCCTTATTGACTTTTTTTGTCTGGGTAATTTATCCATTGTTCAAATCCCTACTATGATTGTATTGTTGTCCCTTTAGATCCATATGT